GAGAGTTGTCCTGTGTGTGCTGTGGGGAAAGTCTGGGGTTTCAGCCCAATGCTCTTTAGAAAGTGAATTCAGTCCCAGAGCTAAGTCTAGCTTGCCTGAGCTCAGGGGAAGGGGAAAACTGATGATCTACTTCTAGTTGCTGGTCCTAAAGTGCAGAAACTCATGGGCGACTTTCAGGTCTGAGGCCCCCAGCTTCTGGCAGGGGCAGGCAGAAAAAAGAGGAGCCAGCCTGAGAGGCCTGGAGCCTTACCAGCCATGGTCTCAAGGATGCAGATCTGCCCCTTCCTCCCTGCCCTGCCTGCTAGCCACCAAGCTGTCATGAGGTCACAGCACAGAGCCACTTCCTGGAGCCCAGAGCTACCACAAGTGGCCACAGTGTGGACAAGAGGACTCTTGTCCACAAAGGCAGATGAGGCATATGAGGAAGGGGACAAGAGGACTCTTGTCCACAAAGGGAGATGAGGCATATGAGGAAGGGGAATGAGTCTAGCACTGGGCTCACTAGGGGGTGGTGGGTGGAGATTTCAAGTGAACAAACGAGGGTCTCCTGAGCTGTAGCAGGCAGGGGAGTGGAGATTGAGACATCAGTGCACCCCTGGGCTGAGGTGGGTATCAAGGACTGGCCATGCTCACCCATCCTCTCTGCTTGCTCACTGTGGGCCGTGCCCTGGGCACTCAGATACCTGCTGGCATTTGCTCGGAACTGAGACCTCAGTCTGCTTCCCCTACCCCCACCCTCCCCTCTGGGCCCCACAAGAACAAGTCCACACAGTAGCGGTAGTTTACATATGCCCTCCTCATCAGTCCCCATGATGGACGCACAATAGATGGCATGGTGCCCACGTTACAGATGTGGAGTCCAAGGCTCAGAGAAGTAGCTGATGCTCAAATCCAGATCCATCACTGCACCAACCAGTCTGTCAACATACGTTCACAGAATGTCCACTGGGTGTCCAGGCCCTCTTCTAGGGGATGGCCATGCACCCAGGAAAGAAGGCAAAGCTGGTGCTTGGAGCTTGTCTTTCAGTGAGGTAGAGACCCTGAGCACGAAATCCACATAGAGATCACTAGGAGGCAGTGACAAGTGTGGCCAGGCACAATACGGCAGGCGAAGGGGGAGAGACTGGAGAGTGGGGTCTGCGTAGCTAGGGAACCAAAGGAGGCCTCCCCAGTGACAAGGAGTTCCAGGTAAGGAGAGGTGAGAGTAAAAGACAGACCCCTGTACTCCTCCTGGAGTACAGATGGAGGCAGAGGGCCAGAGCAACTGTGATGGAGTTGAGATTGTAGAGTTCAAGCAGAGTCTGACTTACTCTTTGCAAAGAACCCCTGCAGCCTAGGGCCTCATGGGCAATAGGGCCCCTCCCCTCTTGGCTCCCTGGAAAGACACCAACATATGTCCTAACCACTCAAACTTCTTTTTGGTTACAGGTTGCATATTCATCGAAGAGAACTTTTCTTTGAAATGTCCCAAGCATAAGGTAGGTGACCACAGGCCTTCCTTGGAAGGGGTCTAGGCTGGAGAGGGTCCCCTCTCCCCTGCCCCGCTGGCTTGCGGACCCCAGCAGGGCTCAGCCCATGAATGGGGGAAGTTCTCACCCAATCCCAGGGGCTGCAGCCCCCACCTGCACACTGCCTCCATAACCGCTCCAGCCTTATTCTCGGTTAATCAGCGGGGCATCTCAGCTGGTGATAAAGACCGCTTTATAAACCTGACAGGTCCTGAAGGAGGGAGCCATTACAGATAGGAGGCTGAGGGAGGGCAGGGTGGGAGCTAGAAGAAAGGAAAAGCCTGACGTGAGGCCAGCTGCTTCCAGCAAAGGGACCCCAGCCGCGCGGCGCCG